GGGGGGATCTAGTGGCCTGTTATAAATTAGTCAGAGGAGACCAGCAGGCATTGGGGGAGTCACTGTTCCCCTGAGCACCGCCAGGAGTGACCAGAAATAACAGTCACAAGCTGGCAGAAGATAGATTCAGATTAGACATCAGGAGGTGCTACTTCACTGTCAGGGCAGCTAGGATCTGGAACCAACTTCCAAGCAAAGTGATGCTGGCTCTTACCCTGGGGGTCTTTAAAACAAGGCTAGATGAACACCTTGCTGGGGTCACTTGACCCCAGTACTTTTTCCTGCCAAGGCAGGGGGTCGGACTTGGTGATCTGCTCAAGTCCCTTCCGACCCTACAAACTATGAAACTATGAATATAGAATCATAGAAAATTAGGGTTGGAAGGGACCTCAGGAGGTCATCTGGTCCAACCTCCTGCTCAAATCAGGGCCATCCCCAAATAGATCATTCCAGCCAGGGCTTTGTCTAGCCAGGCCTTAAAATCCTCCAAGGATGGATATTCTACCATCTCTCTAGGCAACCCATTTCAGTGCTTTACCACCCTCCTAGTAAAAAAGTATTTTCCTAATTTCCAAACTAATCCTCTCTTGCTGCAACTTGAGATCATTGCTCCTTGCTCTGTCACCTGTCACCACTGAGAACAGTCTAACTCCATCCTCTGGAACCCCACTTCAAGCAGTTAAAGGCTGCTATCAAATCCCTCCTCAGTCTTCTCTTCTGCAGGCTTCTCTTCTCCCAGTTCCCTCAGGGTCTCCTCTTAACAGGTGCCTTATTTCAGTCAGTCAAACTGAGAAGTGAAAATACACTCAATCCCATACACTTTACAAACCAAAGCAAATTACAAAGTAATTTACACAATCCTCTGCTCTGCTGAGGATAAGTAGGAGTCATAACAGTAAGATACATATCTGTGGAGAACATGAATTACATCTGGAAAAACAATCCAAAGAACCTTTTTGCAGAACACTTCTCCTCTCTTAAGACAGCAATAGGAAACAGGTTGGTAGTAGAAACAAAGCTGTAGTAGAGGAATACAAGCAAATGTGGTTGGGAAAGGTAATGGAGATGGAGCAAAGGCCCTCATGGCCTACTTGTCTATGACAGGTTACGGTACTTGCTGTTGGTGTCTCTGGGCACTATGACTTTTAGCTGTGCAAAAGGCTGATTGCGTACTTTTAGAAACAGGTTAAACAAAAAGTCTTAAGATATACTCTTTTAGGCTATACAAAGAGCTATTAACACTTGACTGTCCACATATTAAAATGTGAAATCTAGTTTTAAGAACCCCTTAGTCAACTTAAAGTTGTGCCACTCCAAGGTAGGTTTATCTGTGATCTGTGTTACCCATCTCACATTACAGTGGGACTGTTCCGCAGCAATAAGGCAACCAAATTTTACTCCAGCATCCCAGGCTGCAATACCCCTGGATGGGGTGGGGGGGCATCCTAGACTGAGGCAGAAACAGGGGCAGGGCACCCAGAGCTCATTGTGTTGGGCCAGTCTCAGAATACTGACCATTGTCCCTTCTAGCAACATGGTGGGTGGTGAGCTGGGGAAGAAATCCAGTCCCTCCACTAAGCTGCCTGAGCAAGCTCCCCCAAAAATGCTTTCCCTCAATGCTCCCAGTTCCCAGCTCCTCCCCACCTTCAGTCACATGACCAGTTCCACACACACACAACCCAATCCCAATTTATTAAATCATCAGAGGTTGGGGGGGGTTATTTTGCTTATTTTTTAATTTTTATTTTACCCTTCAGCTGCTGACTGACTTCATTTCACCACCAAACCCTCAGCTATCATCCCTATTCCATCTCTACCTCCTGTTTCACTACCCAGTCCCCATCTCATTAAATTCCTGCCTTCCCAAACCCATCTCTCCAACCAACCTCCACCTAAACCAGGGGTAGACTCCTGTCCTGCCTCGCCAGCCCTCTAGTGGCAAATCACAGTTGTGCAGTTTGGGGATGATCAGAGATAGTTTGTATCCTTAACCTGTGACTGCTCTAAACTTAATCTAACATTAGCACTAATCAACATCGTGCAGCACTTAGTATAGCCTAAGGGTAATGTGTAAAAGAATGAAAAATAAAGCCATGCTGCATTTAGAGTATAATTCTATGTATAGCACATTACAAACCTTAGATTTATTTCTGAACGTTTCCTGGACTGTTTTGAATACTTTTGAGTATAACTTCACCATTGTGCAGATTCTCATTACTTGCCTTTCCTTGACCATTCCACACAGAGAATGTCAATGGCCAACATAAATGATGTATCTAGATTCTCAAGTAAAGACTTCCCTTTGACAGTATAAGTCCCATCCACATAACTAGGACTTAAAATTTGACATCATACTAATGAAATATGTTTTTAATCAGTACTTCCATAGTATTCCAGAATTTTTTAATGAAACTTTGAGGAGGAAATTATTTTTCTGGAAAATAATTATTAAACATGCTTAAACTGTTTCCAACAATTGTGTAATTATTTTATCATTAAATTATGCTACCTACTTTTTTGCTCCTTCTTCATAACTTATCTGATAGAAACTGGCATGGAAAATCAATCATAGCTCTCTGTTTGCCTAACTTTAATTATTATTTTTTTCTCCGTATTGGTTATGTTAATCTTTCAACTGATATTCTAAAATGTGTTCAACTGTTCTGGGAGTTAGTTGGTCTAGTAAAAGGTATAATTTGGAGCCAAGAGTTCTAGTTTTTTGTAGTTCAACTGTTCTGTAAACACATTTTTTCAATAAACTACATCTGACTGATGTTTGTATATACTTCCTTTACCTTTCAGCAAGGACACATATACACTTTAAGTCCCCATGCATTACAAAAATTTAATTCTTAATATTCCCTTGTAACAGCTAAGGAAAAATAATTTCCCTGAAAAAAATCACTATAGCTATGATAGTGTTGAAAAACCTAATAGACTACTGTAGCTAACTGTTTGCAAAAGAGATTAAATGGTGAAATGTTCACAGCTTACCACTTCTCAGGATAATTTGTTGGTCCGTGCGGTGAAATGCCAAGTACGGGTATGCAGTAAGTAGACAGTTCTCTGCTGTTGCAGCAACTTGAAGTGAGAACCTTAAAAAAATCCATTCCTTCAATTAAATGAAAATCTCCCTTTCAGTTTTTTCTAGCAATTATGGCTATTTTCCAGCTATGTTTATCAGATGTTTCATGGAAAAGATTACAGAAGTTTCCTAACTGTCCGATGAGTTTCTAAGTTCAAGAAAAGAGTTAAGGGAAGAATTATATTTCCTTTTGTTCACCTAAATAGCAACTTTCCAACTATGCAAGTCAGGGGTTGGCAACTGATAGTACTGAAAAGTGGGTAAGATGGGTAGTGGAGATGAAGCAAAGGAACCCTCATGCCCCTGCTTGACCTATGGCAAGTTAGGGTGCTTGCTGTTGGTGTGTCTGGGTATTATGGCAGGTTAGGGTGCCATAGAACCACTGGATCCAGCCCACTGGATCCCAGGGACATTAGGAGTGAGACTTCAGCTGCAGGCACTCTCCTTGTGCCTTTGTCAGATATCAGGTAGCAGTAGATTGCAGCCTACTAAAGGTCATGCCTCCCTAAACTAGTTAGTCTCCAAGGTCCCACCCTACCCTACCTTCTGCCTGATTTCGAACTAACACAGTAAAACCAACTTTCTCTCAGCACAAATGAGGCATTACCTAGACCTTTCTCCAGCATTTTTTTAAGCTGGCTTCCAGGCAGCCAAGAATGGAAGATATATGGGGCCAGGAAGAAAAGCACAAACTAGAGGTTGTATGCTTCAATGAGATGGCTGGTTGACGTGGCTGCTGGCACTCTCAAAAACAGAAAGCCTGGACCCATGTTCCCACTGGAGTTAAAACTTGTTCACCCATGAAAGGTGCCGTGGATCAGTTTCAAAAGAAGGGCTGGACGAGAGTGGATAAAGCTTAATCTGTTGTTTTATGGGTGAAACACTATGCTAGGAAGTCAGAGACATGAAGATTCAATATGCATTGGGCAAGAGAAGCCTAGAATCTGGGTCTGCTGCTTCCTGGGTCCTAACAACTGAGCCACTGGGGCTAACAAATTGGAGGGCTCTACCACTTGCCTTTTCAGATGTATGTGGATAGCCCGCATGTAGCATGTTTTGTGAACTTACACATCCATAGTGCTAAGACAGGGCCACAGAAAAACAGGTATATAGCTGTAGGATAGCCACTGGGGGGTCAAAAAGGAGAACTGAATTTCTCCCTTAAAAGTAGTAGTGAAATCTCACCTTGGAAAATTTACACTTTTAATAAGCTTCAAAGAGCAGAGGCTAAAATACTGTTTTTCCCACATCCAAAAGTGTTTTACACTAAATATGCAAGAATCATTAATCTGAAGATTCAAGAGGTAGAAAGGATTTGTCAAAATAAATTAACTGTGTCCCTCTGAACACAAAAGCAATTAAAATTACAGTTGATATTTATAAGCATACTAAATAAGACTGCTATCTTGCTAAATGTATTTTATAAATTTTGACACTGGGAGCTTTATTGCAAACCAACTTCTATTTTGATTTAATGCTTGTTCTATAAGCAGATAAAGAAATTTCAGAATCAATAGTTAAAAATAAGAGGTTCAATTTTAAAGCTGAGATAGCGACCATCGGGCATTTTATACACATGCTCTGGGAGGTGGGGGGGGGGAAGTGCTTTAATTAGAGCCGTTCTAATTAAAGTGCCTGGAGCACCATGTATATAAGCATCTCCATGCTGAAAAAGTGGCAAGGGTACTTTAACTAAAGCTCAAATGAGCTTTAACAAAAAAGTGCCCCCACCACCATGGAGACACTAATACACATAACGCTAGAATCTGCTAAAGTGTGGTAATTACCATGCTTCAGCAGACTCGATTAATCAAGTCTGCTCTGAAGCACTGTAGTTACAGTACATCAGAACAGCCTCAATGTATGTGTATAGACACCCATAATTATTAAAGTCTAGCAGAAATTAATTTATAAAACTCCTATATTCAGTATGGTTCCTATGTTGCATCTAGCAGTTATGTCTGAGGTATGGAAAATTAACATGCCAACTTGTCTGAAATTCGCACATCTATACAAGGTATTTTTAAAGAAGCAGTTATCAGAAAAATGTTCTGACAGGTATCTCACCTGAGCATGCTGAGAATTACAAAAATATATCTTTCACTAAAATGACTGAAAATATTCCCTACTTTTTTAAATTACATATGAAAAGAGAACTTCTGCACTTTATGTCAGTTTTAAAAAATGTAACAGTTTTAAAACACATGTATGAAAAAAATAAACATGCTACAAATATAGAACCTGTTACAAGCAGCTTTGGTTAGAAATCAGCAAAATTTTTCACCAATAATATACAGCCATCATTAACTTCTTTGCTATATGGTAGTCTTCTTAAGCATAGTCTGAATGTCTTGATGGAACAGAAACAAAAGGAACCAACAATTTTTGCCGTCTTCCAAAAACTTAACATCCTTAACTCTACTTCCAAAGTGGCCCTAACAAATAGATAGGACGCCAAATTAGAAAGCCAGATCTACTACCCCAATCATAAATATTCAGGATCTGGATTCCCATTTCATAGTTAAATACAATTCTCTAAACCATTATATTTTACAATACTTTGCTATGTTCTCAGGCTGTTCCAACACAATGGATTTTTAAAGAAAAACTATATTTCATTTGTTTCATTTTAAGAATTCAGGTTTAAATAAGTTAAGTGGTATATGGAATCACAGAAAAATAGGGTTCAGAGGCACCTCAGGAGATCATTCCATTTAATTCCTTGCTCAAGGCAGGATGATCTTCAGACCAGATACAATAGCTCTGCAAGCTGAATGTGGCCTGTGGGCCAGGGGTTGAGCATCCTGACATAAACCACACTTTAAAAATATTCAACTATACATTCATCACTAGACAGAAACCCAACCCTCATCTGCCTTCACCTCCTACCAGTCCTCATTGAAATCAACAGGCTTTGCCATCTGTTCAGAAGGTATCCTTTAGCCTACAAGAACAATCAAAACAAGTCTCTTGCCTCACCAGTGAAATGCAGGAGTTAAAGGTCAGTTCATAGCAAGAATCTACTTTCAAACTGCCCAACTGCAAATTCCTTCAAAAATACTATATCAAGGCATGTTAAGATCTTGATAGTTAAAAGCCATTTACCACCACATAAGGCCTTTTAATTTAGGTGATATAAATAAACTAAATAGTTATCCTTACAATAGCTGCATTTATGGATATCCACAATAAGAAAACTTGTGAAATGCATAAGAACAGGACTCCTATAAATTAATTATTGTTCAAATGTATTGCTTCCACTGATCTGCATTGTGGGATTCCATGCCTTGATGGACAGCAACAAAACATATTTCTAAACAGTTTCCTCTTGTGAGGGGAATGCATCCCTGTTTCTGAATTTTAGAATTAAGGACATAAACAACTCCAACCCCTACATGTCCTTTGTTCCCTTCTGAAGCTGCGTTCTAATAAAGCATGTAAGATCGTGAGTAGTCCCATGGTTTCAGTGAACTACTCACATGCCTAAATGCTTTCCACTGAAGTGCTTGATCAGAGTTGAAGTCTGTGCACATCCTTTATACTCCCAAACAGAGGGAGCTGTAAGTAGAAATGGTTTAAAATTTTAGGAAGTCTATAGGGTGATGTATCTCTTCTTTTATCAGTTGTTCATTTCTTTTTCTTGGTAATGGATGGTTTTTGCGATGCCTTGCTACACATTGTAAGAATACTGATCATTCTTACACTGGAGAGTGAACTGCTAAGACAGTTGCCAGCTCAACCTTTACTGAGCTCAGAAGGCCTCATGTATTCTAGTTCTAGCAAATATTTTCAAATATAATGAATTTTGTTTGAAAACAGTAGATGAACTCAGGTGGAAAATGCATTTACCCAAATTTTCTATTTAAATCTTTTCCACTGCTAATAAGGATGTTTTAATATACTAAGAATAGATTCTCTGATGCAATTAGCCACTCAGCTTCTGCCAGACTACGGGGTCTCGAGAGCAGTATCGAAGCAAAAAGCTAAGTCATCTGATGCTAATTTAACTGGAGCTCCAGTCTTCAAACCTATGTTGCCTTAGCCAAGCGAGAATTATCAATGATTTTCTGATGTGCTGTTTTTTCATTTTTTGATAAGCTTGGGAATCAATGAGTCTGGAAAGATTACATATAGCAACTCTCCCCAGGGCAACAGAAATACTGTATTTATTTGTATAGCACATGCATCTTTTCCCCAAAAAATAGCCCTTCAAAATTGCGGTACATATTTTGAGTGCAGAAATGATTTGAAGAGAAGCAAGAAGGTGCAGTATGGCCGCCAAAGGCTCTGCTTTTCTCCAACCAGCAGTTTGCAGGGGCAGACTCCAGTTTTAACACTGCAGTAGCTTTTGGCAGTAGCTTTGGCTAACTTTTGGCAGCCAAAAGCTGCTCCCAATTCGACAGTGGCTGTGGGAGGGTGAAAACTAGCTTTTAACTGAAGTAGCAAGTAAGCTGTTTGACAGTGATTGAATTGTTCCATGAGGTCCTCTCTCTCTCTCTCTCCTTCCGAAAACAAGATACACATCTCATTTGCAGATGTATTTGGTAGTTGTGTTGGTCATGATACAAAAAGAAATGCAAAACTCTAGAACTCTTTGTTCGGAGATGATACCTTTTATTAAACCAACTAAGAAATTCCAAAAAAAGTATCTTTTTCTGCAAGCTTTCAGAAACACACACCCTTCCTCAGGCTCAGGGAAAATTAAGGATGGTAAAAAGTCCCCATAGGTAGAAAATTTCATTTTTGCACAGAGGAAGCTGAGGTTTTCCTGAAACAAGGAAGATGCCAAATTTTAGCTGATTTGGGATTTTAAAATCCAATTCCCAAACCCATGAGGAGTCCTATAGGTCAGATGTCATGGCTCCATGTACTGGATTGTGCACATTGGACAGGGTCAACATTTGTAACTGGTGTCCATGGATGGATCTGGCATACAGGGTTAGTGTTCACAGCCAGATCTAACACAGGGAGCTGGACCAGTGGAAGAGGTTGGCACCTGTGGACCAACCCTGCAGAACAACTACATGCTGAACCCCATGCATAGGAACTGGCCTGCATATTAGCCATCTGCCACTCATCCAGCCCACAGGACTAGAAGTTTGAGCACCACTAATATACACAATAAAAGTCCCTGACAGCAAAGGATAGCCTGAGGGCACAAGTCAGATCCCATGTGAGAGGGCCAACGAACAGAGTGGCCCTGTGAGTGTGGGCAAGTGAGGAGGCCCAAGTGGGGGCATAGTGACCCAGCGAGGGGCTAGGAGTGAAATAGGCCTACAGTTGTATAATCACTCAGTCATTGCTCAGGTGAGGGTAGCAGAAGATACTGAACAGACTGTGCTGGGGCTGACTGAGAAGAGGAGAGCTAAGCCCGAAGCCAGGTGAGGCTGAGCGGCATGGGTATGGCCCCTGAGAGAAGGCAATATAAAAGAGGCTGGGTGAGAGCCAGCAGAGCGAGTGGGATCCTAGTGAGAGGGGTAGCATGCAAGTGGCTCTCCAGGGCTATAGAAAAGATCTACAACTGTGTGCCCAGTTTGCTCCAGCCATAGGTTGGAGAAGTAACAACTCTCATATCTTTCCATCAAGGCATGGCAGGAGAGTGAAGCAAGGGGTTACCCCAGGAGCAGGGCGGCCAGCAAAGACCTGATGAGAAGGCCACCCTGTTACACAGGCCAACATTATTATTTTCATGTCCTCTAAAGCAGAATACACAACAGTCATCCTAGGATGCTTTGACAACCCTAAGCATGAATTTGCTTTTGGGAGCTTAGATGTTCCTTAATGTTAGTTTAAAGCTAGTCTTTATTTGATTTCTTTTTGAGAAAACATTACATTCCCTTTTAAGTGAATGGTGGTATCCTTTATTTCATTTTAATAGCAGTATAGATAGCAAAGTTTATTATGTAGTAAAAATGCTTATTCCTCCATAACAAGGTTTGATAAGCTGCTACTGCATCATATAAAAACAGTTATTAAAACTAACTATTGTGCCTGCTCAGCAACTATTTTTCACAATTCAACATTCTCTTGTTCTACATGACCCTTTTTTCATACCCACTAAAAGGTTTAGTGCACATTTATGAATCACATCCCAAGTAATAGTTTATTTTAAAAGTAAGTAAAATGGGGCTTAAGAGAAAATTCTTAGTGGATTATTTATATTGATCAAGGCAGAGAAAAGCCCACTAGCACAACAACTGAAATATTTATACAGTCTTTGCATAAAAATAATTAACTTTTATGTTTTGGATAAATCTAATGTTGAATTGTTACTCACAGTGATTTGAGATTACAGTGGAAGTAGTGACTGGAATTTAATTCTGACAGTAAGTAGCTGTGAATCATCATAGCACTTATCTGCTCTTGGTACAATTGTTATTTTAAGATAAAAGGCAATTTCCACTGAAAAGGGTAGGAGTAAAATTATTTTAATCCCTTGTGTTACAGTATTATGCTACAAGATGTAAACAGATAGTGCTGCTTACACACACACAGCACTGTTGATTTGTTAGCAATAAATCACCAATAAGTACCTCATCTTTCATCCTACAAAACACAGCAAAAATAAAGTTAATCTATATTTATTCATTTGGAAATTACATATCTGCAATTCTTCCTCTAAAATTAATATGTTGGGTTAAAGTTATATACAAGAGTACCAGTCCCCATAAAATCCAAAACAGACACCAGAGACACAATTAGATAAAATATTTCTTATTCATTTTTAAACAAGCAGTTATTAAAAAGACAAAAATAGAGTTCATAAAGTAACATTCACATACATCTAGTCCTCATTTGTTGCTGTACTAGCTTTCTAATAAAATATCATTTGTACTGTTTTTCCAAGATACTGTGAGTCAGCTCAATTGCCAGATCTAGGGATCAAAAAGAAATGATACCACTTGGTCCAAGACTGGAAAGTTGCTTGGTAAGTTTCTTCACCTGTCTCAAGGATGCTATGAGGCTTGGTTTTAAGTACAAGGAGAAAAGCTATAACAAGATTTATCTTAAATTTTGAATAATTTAAAATGCTGGGCAGCAGGACAAATGGTTAAATATTGGGTAAAAATTTGGGTAAGTAAATTTGGGCTAGAAATAAGATTTCTATTCTGCTTGATGTGGCTCTAAAAAAAACAAAACAAAACAAAACAAACCTCCCAATATGAGTGATGAGGACAAATAAACATAATGAGCTTTAAGACAGAGATTGATAAGATAGAGATTTATGAAAGGGATGATATGACATAATTGTTTGCAATAACAAGGGAGGGGAATAACTGACCCAGGAGGAACATTTCCAGTCCTCTGTTTTAAAAGCGTGTAATTTGTCACAGCTTGGCCTCCATCAAGTGCAGACAAAAGACTACTCAGGCCAGCTCCCTGAGACAAGAAAGAAATCTGGGAGATAACTAGTAAACCCTCCTAGGAAGAATGTCTTTGCAGACCAAGACACCCTGGATGTTATTATGAAAAGAGGATTCAATTTTTTTATTAAATATAGTTTGTACTGTAAAGGCATAGTCTCACTAAAATTCTGAGATACAGGCTCTCATGCAGCAAATCAATTCGGTGTCTCAGAAACTTTCCTCTAAATGCTTTGTAATGTAGGACCTGCATTCCCAAATCATACTCTTCTTAATATTCATCAGGGCTTTCCAACTTCCAAGTACCTGGAGGCCATACAACCCATGAACTGCACCAGTGGGGAGTCATGGGCTAACATGCTGCATGGGTGCAACACACACCAGCACCACCTCCCGCCCATACTGCGCCACACCCACCAACTGCAGTACACACAGGCACCCACCACTGAACAGGAATAGAGAGATTTTCTAGCTGCTATTTCTCTTTCTGTGGAAGCTCTTGATAGCTTCCATGTATTCCCTGAAGATCTGCAGAGAGAAAGTGGGGCCATCAGGATGCCACATGGACCATGAAAAGGAAGGAGGGATTATGAAGCATAAATGACAGGAGACCAGACCGTTCCACACCCAGAAATATCTTGTAAAAAAGAGGGGATCAAAGGAGTGAAGATTTTACTGAGATTTTTTTTGAAACACAGTAAAATAATTATGAAAGCCAGCCAGTTGTAATTTCTTGTCAACAACTACAGACCTGACACACACAGGAAACACTAAAAAGGTTCATGCATCCCTGTACTTAGTTGAATTTCCTCCAATACACTAAAAACCAGTGTGAATAATGCAATAAAGAAATAATGTTAGACCCATAAGGGGCCTTAATTCTGAAATACCACAAAGCACTACACAAACCTCAGCTGATAGAAATACTACATTTTATATACAAATGCTTCCCCTTGGAAGACTTGAACAGCACAAAAAAAATTGTTTATTTTTTTTAAGTTGCAAAAAGCAGTATGGAGCAGAAACATTACGATTAATTTACTCAAGAACCCATTTTTCTAAGGCAATCTGGGGGAAATGTAAAGAGTTACATACACAAAACCTAATGGTGAAAAGGAATGGAATACAAGATTTTTAAATTGGTAACTTTAGATGACTTGAACCTGCATAGCAAAGCTCAACAATGTACTTTGGTACTAGAATCTAGCAGGGAAAAAAAAGGGTATTATTTTATATTAGGGATTTTTTTCCCCAGAATTAACTCAAAACCTGAGGCTTATACCTCACTCACTTCTGCTCAACATGATACTATGCTTGAAGGAACTTGCACAGAGTACGGTACCTGTTTTCATCTTCATCAATGAAGAATATATTCCCCAAAAACGACAGTGGCTTAGATGACCTGAAGCTGATATGACAAGTGAGTCCTACATTTGAGCCATCTGAAGAGACAGCAATAACTTGGCCTTGTGGGAACTCCACAGAAAGGGGATTAATCCCATTACCACCTTCAGGTTCAAGTTCTGGAATTTCAACTCGCAGTGCTGATTGCCTGTGTGAAAAACAGCAACAATTATGTTTAAATCCTACAAGACAAGAGTAGCAAAGTTGATTTACACACTTGCTTTTCTCATATAGATACAGAAACTATGATCATAAAACAATTTTGGCTCAGCAGTTCTGGTTACCTGAAATTAAATGAAAAAAAAAATTACGTCTTTCAACACTGGGGAGGCCAATTTGTTTATTGATGTACTGAGGTTTTCAGTAGTGACCCACTGTAGTTCAGCATTCAAGGGAGAACAATTTCTACAAACCACTGTGATAAAAAAGACTTAAGACTTCTTAGCCTAAGAACCACAGATATCTGTTATTGCAGAAAGTTTTGACTTTTATTTAATTAAACTTTATTAATACAACAAACTGTTTTTCTTCACAGTTTTCATGAACTTTCCAGAAGAGAAAAAATTTGATACAATAACCTGTAATAAGGATGACAACATTTCTGAAGAACAAAGCTCAAAGAAATGATGCACCACAAGCACAACAACGTTTGATCAGGACGAAGAGGTGTTAATTGCAATGCTTTTCTCATAAACATTACATTTTCCCCAACTGAGATGAAAGTAATATGAATATCAACCCATCTACCCAATTATCAGGCATTATCTTTGGTGACAAAAAAGGAAGCATATCATTAACCTCACTATAACTGGTACATTTAGCTGAAGATTTACCTTGGGTAGTCTAGTGGAATAATATTCACATCTGTCCCTGTTTTCATATCCAGAGGAACAGGCATCAGTATCAAAAGTGGAGGGTCAAAGCTTATCTTGGGTGACTTGACAGTACCAGAGAGAGAGAGCTTGTATTGAGATAGGCTATCATTCAGAAATACTGCCACTTCAGCTGTATATATCCCAGGAAAAGCTGACAGAAATTGGGGAGAAAAAAAAACCTACTCAAATATGTTACTCTCAATATATGGATCATTTAAAGTAACAAGTTGGACAAGGATATTTTTTAATCAAGCATACTACTTTAATATTCAAAATACAGCCTAACATGTAGACTAATCATTATTTACTGAAATGAGCATTAAGAAGTGACTTTTCCCAAGCACACAGAAACCTTTTCCTATATTTCTTGTCAACAGTAAAAAGTCCTTTTTGACATTCTGAAGTTTCTACAAAATTACTGGAACACGTAGTGTTTTACTCAGTGAGAATTATAGGCATATTCACACAATAATCACTTTTTATACAAAGGAATAATAGCTATAAGCAACCAGAAGTGACTGAATAACGATAAATCATCAGAAAAATGGTGTATTTGGTGAATGTATGTTGCTTAATAGTAATAGCAGTCACCTATTAGTAACTTGCATACAATGGATAATTCTAACACTAATATTTTATGACATACAACAGTTACCTTGCTCCTAAAATTTAGCCTTCTAAAATTGGGCTGCATCTTAAGTAGGGAGGCCAAGTTTTCTGCCCAGAATAAAAGCATGGAGACACTGTACAATGCCTGTTGCTTCTTTTCCTTCTCTCTCTCCAGCAGCTGTATGGAGGGAGAGGTGGAGCACAACAGGAGCAAACTGGAGGCAGGGGGTTGTACCCTCCCCCACTTTGATTCCTGCTCCACCCAAAGCTTAAAACCAACTGCATGGCAGCAAAAGTGGCATTTCTGATGGAATCAACTGACTTCATGGCTCAGTCGAATCTACCTGGCTCCTGCCTCTTCACTCCATAAGTTTTAATCACCATCTCTCTTTTTTAATAGTCCTGATATTCAATTCTGCAAGTTATCCTTACTTCAGCAATTTTGCTGTCTGTTACCTACTCCTAGTCTCTCTTCTCCTATTTCATAACCCAGCCAACTGTTTTTAGCTCTTTTCAAAATCCTAGGTCTGCCCATGGAGTTCAGCTACAGTTTCAGCTTCTGGCTGAGGAGCCAAGAGCCACTGACAATTCAGCTGTGAAGGAGTTAGAACCGTAGCTTCTGCTTGAGCAGAAAGGTCAGGTGAGCAAGCTGAATATTAGGCTCTGTACACGCTCTATGCAGCTATAGCTCTGGAAAAATCTCTTCTTTTTCATTCTGTTTTCTCAAAAACAAGGTCTGTGTTTATTTGAGGACATGTGGTATGTAAGAAAGTATGGTACTTTGCTCTCAAAGTGTCCTAACACTTGCTTCACCCTGCATCCTTCACCATCGTTGCCTTCACAAATTCTCCCTTACCTCCTCCCTTTCTATGCATTTTCTACCCTTCCTTTCTCTACAGTGCTTAGCAGCAGGAGGCGGCCTACTTTCTGCTGGATAGCAATAGTCTCTTCAGCAACACTGTCATCAGCTTCTGTCCCCATCATGCACTGGAGCTTAAAAAGTTTTTAGCCATCCCCATATGCTGGAGAATTAACAAAGACAGCAATTTTGAGGTCTTCCCAGTTCATGACTTTCGTAACTAAAAACAACCCCTCCCTCTCCCCCTGCCCACAAAAAAACCAAAAAAAACCCCAAAAACCCAAAAAACTGCATGCCACATGTTTTGGTAGTTTTGCATTCCTGGGCACTTGAGCTTCATTGTAGGAAAAATAAATAAATAAAGCACCCTTCCCTGTTAAAAAAAAAAAAATGCACAAACTAACTCTTCTTTTATACCCACAACATGCACCAAAGAGTAACTGAGAGCTGGAAACATCCACAGTCTGATTTCATGAGGCATAAATGCAAAAAAATGTGGCAGAATGAATAATTTTATGTTCTGAATCTATACATGAACATGCATGCACTCCAACCAAATACAACGCCAAGGAGTCCTGAGCTGACCCTTATCTCAAACAATTCACCACCATAGTCTCAGAAGCAAGTGGTATTATCTGTACCTGCAAAAGAAAAAGGAGGCTGTCTGCCTCTTTACAACAGCTTACCCCACACTAAAAAAAACAAACCAATTTCCTCATGAAAGAGGAGGCAGGAGTTCTGTGGAAGCCCATGGCATACATGCAACACACAAAGGGGTAATATGCCATATCATTATAATCTGGCTGACATTACAGGGCAGAGCAGCATGTGAGATGACTACCAGGAGGAAACTCAGAATAAGCATAGTATTGTCAGTTTCCAATAAGGGTCCAGTTCCCTGTTAAACTGGAACTGGATTTAAGGATAGGACCATCCCTTAAGAAGCTGGGAAAGAGATTAGGGCTCCTAACTTTGGTCAGTAAAACATCTCCCTTTTTTCCATTCCTTAACCTTCATGAGGGGAAGGTAGTGAAGTCTCAATACAGAGCTTGCACCAAGCCTATACTGTGAGGAAGCTGATGACAGCTCTCCCATAGGTAAGATGTTCTTCAATCTTTAATAATTAAAAAATTGCACAGAAATAGCCAACCAGGAAACAATACGAAGTATACATGCTTTTATGCTACTGCTAGAAGTCTAAGATCAGAGGTGGGGGAACTTAAACGTTTAGCAGTAAATAATGATATTGACATAACATGTATCTCTAAAACATGGTGCAATGAAGAAAATCAGAGAGAAGCTGTAATACCAGGGTACAAATTATATAGAAACAACAGAATAGGTCATACGGTGGAGGAATGGCACTCTACATCAAAGACTGCATAGCATCAAATCGGGTAGATCTTTCAACAGATAAGAGAAGTACTACAGAATCTTTCTGGATAAAAATTCCAGGTTTCAACAGAAAAACAAAAATACATCTGGGAATATTATTGATTCTCAGACCAGGACAGCAGCAGCAAACTAGAAATGCTAACGGAGATGAGAGAGACTGCAAAAGTAGAAAACACAGTAATAATGGGTTACTTCAGGTATCCATAAATAGACTAGGTCAATCTAAAAATCAGGCCAGGATGCAGAGACCAAATATCTTGAATTTATAAAAGACAACTTCCTGGAGCAGTTGGTACTGGAACCCACATGAGGAAAAGCCATTCTTGACCTACTCCTAGGTAGTACACAGAATTTGGTGGAAAGGGGAAGTGCTACTGAGCTGCTCTACATTAGTGACCACAATGCCATTGGACTTGACATCCATGTGGGATGAGAAATGACCAGAATATTTATCACAGTAACCTTTAAAAGGGAGACTACACCAAAATCAGAAAGCTAATTAGACAGAAGTTAAAAGGGGCCCCTAAGGATGTGAAGAAAATATAAGCAGCATGGGAACTACTTAAGAACACCATATTGGAGGCACAGGACAAATGCATGCCACAAATAAAATAAAAAAAAAATAAAAAAATGGAAAGCAGATCAAAAGAAAACACAGTTTAATGGCAGAATTACAGAGGCAATAAATGGAAAAAAAGGTTCCTTTCAAAGAGTCAAATCCCCTGGATCCCTCTTAGCTGACCCGGTAGGGAGCCGCGCTCCTGAGCCGCACTGCGTGAACAGAGCGCACAAACAGAGTGTGCTGGCGTTTGCATCAGTGTTCGCGCCGGCAGGCGAGCAGGAAGGGCCAGGAGGGAGACTCCTGCTAGGACAGGCCTAAGGCACTGCACTAAGCCATAAACAAGCAGCAACTCCTACGATGGTGTCGACACAGAGTGCTGCCAGGGCCCCTGCCCGGGGGGCACAGCCTACCTGGGGCTTGTCTGAGGCCTCCACCCAGACAGAGCCCATGGTGGGGCTGGCATCCCCCCACACCCTGGCCTGCGGGGAGTTTCCCAGCAAGGTCCGGGGGGGGGGCAGGGATTGGGAAACCCCACACCTGTCCTGCAGGCGCCCGCCTTAAGGCCCTGGAAGCGCAGGTGAGGTAGCTCCAGGAGGAGGTTAGCAGGCTGAGGGGATTTAACAGGGGAGGTCTACTACAGACCATCCAACCAAGGGGAAGAGCTAGACCAGGAATTCTTCAGTCAGCTCACGGAAGTAGTTAGGTAAAAGGACTTGGTCATCATGGGTGACCTGAACTTTCCAGACATCTACTGGGAAGAGCAGTCAGCCACGTCTGACAGTTCACGTAGCTTCCCCACCAGGGGAGACACCTTGTTGGACCTGGTGCTGGCCACAGGTGACGACCTGGTGAGGGGGCTTCGGGTGCTCAACCACCTGGGCTACCTTGATCATTGCCTGCTAGAATTCGCCATGCAGCGCAAGGTGGCAAAGGCCTGCAGCAAGACAGCAGCCCTAGATTTCAGGAAGGCAGACTTCAATGAGCTAAGGAGAATATTCAGGGAAGCGCTGAGGTCCCGGAGGGGAGGGAAGCCAGATGTCCAAGAAGAGTGGTTGCTCCTTAAGGAGACGATCCTTCAAGCCCAGAGGGAAGCAATCCCAACATGGATCAAAGGGGGCAGGAGGGCGCAAAAGACCCCATGGCTCACCACAAGCATCTGGGAATGTCTCCTAGCTAAAAGGGCGGCGCAAACCCAATGGATGGGAGGGGCCATCACCATGGACGGCTATACCTCGGTTGCTCAGGGATGCAGGGGGGCAGTCAGGAAGGCCAAGGCAGAGATGGAACTAGGACTAGCTTCCTGGATCAAGGACAACAAGAAGTCCTTTTTTAAATACATAGGGGGCAAAAAGAAGGTACTGGGTAAGGTGAAGCCCCTGCAAGACACGCTAGGAAATTTGGTCGTCACACCAGATGACAAAGCTAACCTATTTAATGACTTCTTTGCCTCCATTTTCCTGAGCAGAGACCGGAAGAGCCACCCCCCCTCAGGCCCCCCTTTGACCCCAGGGGAGGTGCACCTAGGCCAAGGGTTAGTGAGGAACTAGTCAGGGAACTTCTGGAGGAACTGGATGTATTCAAATAAGCTGTTCTGGATGATCTCCACCCTAGAGTACTGAGGGAATTAGCTGAGGTCATTACAGGACCCCTGGCACAGCTTTACGAGCACTCGTGGTGCTCTAGTGCGGTGCCAGAGGACTGGAAGAGGGCCAATGTGGTTCCCATC